ATATATATATATATATTATTTGAATACTGTAGAAGTATTTGAGACAATTACAAGAAAAATATTTGCTTAATAGATAAATATTTCACCATCACAGAAAGATTTTAAATATTATTTACAATAACTGCTCATTTGATACATTTTTCCTTACTTTCATACCCCATGTATATTTTCAACATGACAAAAAGTTTCTGAAGTAAGTGTGGGTAAAGTTGAAATTTTATGTTAGCATATTATAACTTTGATGTTCAATTCCTTTTAATCAAATTGCAAAGTTTTAAATGGGTCTGGTGTTCAAAGCAATAAAAAGTACAAGAAAAGCAGAATTCCTCAGATCCAGCATGCTTTATATATACGTGCCTATTTCATAAGCTAGGATAATTTTAATATCTGTCATGGTGTTTTCATTATGTCTTGGTTTATTATGATAATGATAGCTATATTCTCTATTTGTTATTAATGTTTATTTTTAAAAGCCCAAATTTTTATTTGTTTTAGACCAAAAAAATATTATGGTGTGTCAAAAGAAGAAGAAAAACATTAATTGAACTTTTTTGTATATTAAATTGGTAAGTTCAAATGTATCAAAGTTAGGTTTCTGTCATATAAATAAAAAAATTAGTTGATTATTTAATTTATTTTAATAAAATGTGAGAAAAGGTATTCTTGAAATTTTTTTTTGTTCGTTAAATTAAAGATAAATGTTTTTATTAAGGAAATAGTTTTTTAATATTATGTATGTTACCTGTATAGGATGCTTATCCTGGTTGGCAGGGTGCTGGACTCGCGTTTGTGAGAATGGGAGTTCGAATCCTGCCAGCCGAAAACTCCCTGTGTAGTAAATGGTGACTGATGCACGTTATATCTGTTGAGTTACAAAGTCCTCCATGCCCCTATAACAAATTATACCTACCGAGGTAATTGATCATTCCTGATTTAGGTCAAAATTACGATCTGTGGATGAATGAATGAATGGGTTCGCCCTGTAAACAGGTGAGACGTATGGCGAAAGTTCAATTCTTACCCATAGATGGCGCCACTGAAAAACAAGAATAATTGCACCCCCTACCTTTGTGGCCGACGACGACAACAACATAGGACCCGTAGAATTGACTTGTATAAAATATATAACATTTCACACAATGCTGAGACATTCAATAGAATAACTTTTGAAAAACATGCATTCTACTAAATGATATAAAAATCTTCATAGTAATTCTCATATTTCATATTCTTTATAGTAATTCTCTTTTGCCTAAAAATGCCACCATTTACTACATTGTCGGTAACATATATATTAACAGAACAGACTTCAAATTTTCTTTATTTCTAACCATGTAATAAAATGATTCTATAATAAAATTAAGTATCAATGAGTGCATGAAAGCATTTTACCTGTTTTGTTGTTTATGGTCACTTACTTTTCACTAACTCCAAGTATTAAATAAAGTATTTGTTATAAAAATTATACTGCTGACAATACTGTTTAATTTAATATTTATACAGGTTTGTTTGTATATAATGAATTTTAAGGGACTTTTTATTCATGTTGGTGTATGAAAGTTCGAGTGTGAATGGCCTATTGAAGCACAACGAGTACAAAAGGTTTTTAAAGAGTCTTCAGTTTATTTTATATTTGTAAACAGCATTTAAATTTAATGAACAATCGATATTTTGTTAAAATAATAATTTTTATTTTTACACCTCATTTCAATTTGTCTGTATAAAATAAAAATCAGATCCATATATTGCAACTTATAACCATATGCGGAAATTACTTCACTAAAAACTCTTTTGCAATTTCGATTGTGTGTGTATGCTGTGTAGATGTTCTTATTTAGAAATTACAATAAATAGAATTTTATTGTTTGTCTTGGGATTTTTATTTATTCATGTTATCTTCCCTATGGAAGGTGCCGGAATTGTTGCTCATTTTGTGTTGCCTGGTAAGCAATTTGTGACCAAAGTAAAGGAGACGAGCAACATTACCCACGTTACACAGCCACAAATACCCGTTCATAAAGTGTTTACATCACACATATCAGAGGACAACACACAGAGAGAAAAACCCATGCCCTGAGCACAGGATTCGAACGCGCCACAACATTGGCTTCGCAGTTAGGCACGTTAACCGCTCGGCCACCTGGCCGGCTTTTCTTATATCTTAAAAGGATTTTTTTATCGCTAAAAGTTACTTGAAGTTTTACTTATCCTTCCAGAAGCCTTATGTCAAAATTCAGCAATAAAATTTGTTAATTACAATTGTTGTGTGACTATTGTCAAATGTAAATAACTCTCACTAGTTAGATGCCATTTCTTAAAATCTACGAATGATTTTGCTTTGAAAACAAAAGTTGCAAAAGAAAGGTGCCCTAATTATTTAAACATAATGTTACATATCTTACATTATGAAATTAAAATTAACAGCAATTGAAATTTTCATGTTGTTTTGGACATAAAACTGTTCTGCTTGGACGTGGGCAAGTTCTGCTCTTAACATAATTTTTTCTGTTGCGATTCTAATTGTTCTGCGACATACGGCGCAGTTTGGGGCACTTTCAGCTTTACAAATTAGTAGTTCTAATTTTTTTTAAAAATTCTTTTAAAGGTTAAGAGTGTATTCATAACTTTTTTCGCCAGGGAAAATTTAAAAAACAACTACAATCTTGGTGTCTTAAACTCGTGGCAAAGCTGTCTCCTCGAAAAAAAATTACATAGCTTTATTATTCAAATTTATTCTATTTGATAAACTTTACACAATCGATATTATTTGACTGAGTTTCAAAACAGACATGTATTTACTATACTTACTGCAAAACTCTTTTTAACCTAAGATAACTAAACATTTGTCTAATAAACTATTTATCCCTTGCAGTTATTGGAAAGTGATTACTACGGTTGTCTGCAATGCAGTACACTTGTTACTTATCGAGATTTGTTGTAATTGTCGTCTAATAGTCGAATGTTTAGTTCCATCATAATAAACATAAAAGATGTTTTGAATATCGAAAAGCCCACAGAAGATTTAAATTTAACACAAGTGCAAAAGTCGTGCCGAAACTAAAACTATTTTATGAATAGTTTCAAACGTAACTCTTAATTCTGAATATGGTTGTGTCGAACATAAATGAGTGTTATCTCGCTTTGGATGTTAGATGAATTTGGCTGGGTCTGGGTACTCAGTAAAGAGTAGTGAAAATCTTTTGCAGGGTTTGGATACTTACAGGGTAATGAAATTTTGGTCGGGTACCGGGTAATTGCCGAGTTCTTAGTACATCCCTAAAACCTATCCAAAAAGTATGACGTAAAGTTGTCACCCTTAGAAAAGACTGTGGCTTATCATTATACATATGCTCAAGCCCTTCATATTAACACTCAAATATTGAAAAGAAATGTGTTGAGTTTTTAAAATAAAGAGATAACAGAAAAACAAAGATTATGATTTTTAATAATTAAACAATTTCTCATAGAAGTCTGAAGTATCAAAAGACCAGTTTCTTATGATTGACGTAATATCGGCCTATTTACAAAAAGCGTGTTTCAGAATTTTGATGAACTTTCGAACACGGTCAGAATTCACATAAGCCACTTGTGTGTTCCATTAGCCATTTTCAAATGTTCAGCAAACACTTTCAAAGGATTATCTCTAGCTTTTGAGACAAAAGTCATCAATATATCAAATAATGTTTGGTTCTGATGATCTACGAAGAATAGGCTTTTTCTGAAAAATTTGTGGCACAGTTTCTCTTACTGGACTATCTAGAAGGCGCTTAGAATTTTTGTGAACCACTGGTACGTGCTGTTCTTCAGCCAATTTCAAAGCTTCGGCGACACTTTCGGACAACTTTAGCAAACGGAGAATCTGAGGTTTCTCCGTTGGTAAAGGTGGTGGCAGAGGTGGTACGTATTCACTTTCCGAGTTCAGTACATCCTCATACACTGTGTCAGATCTTGACGATTTAGGAACCATATCTTCATACACATGCTCATACATGTCTGAGGTTTCATCCGAATCCTCGTCACTTTTTGCTGTCGGTTTGAGTTGATCGTTTAGCGACTTTGATTTTGCCAGTGGTAGTTTCACGAAGCTCAAACTGGCATCTAATAAATCACTGGAAATGTTTGTCGAGAGAAAATTACTAGTATTACGTTTGTCATTTAAGGTTTTGTTTGTACTTTCGTCATTGACTGAGTCTAGTTTGCTTCCTTGCTCGTTTTCTAACTGTTTGGAAGCTTTTCTAATGGTTGCATATTGTGGTGTATCATTGCCATTGACGATGATATCGTTTTGTGTTTCATTATTGCGAGATAGTTCCTTAGTATTTTTTGATTTACTATTGGTTGAAAGTTCTGTGGAGTCTTTTGCACTTGATTGGAGCCAATCAATTGCAGATGTCGCAGTATTACTGTAGAAATAAAAAGTGCGTGTCTCAGTTTTTGAACTAAAAAAAAGAAAGAAGAAACATTAATTTAACATTAAAAAATGGTATACTGCTAAATTTAAAAGTTATTAATTATACATTCTGTTATTTAAAAAACTATTAACTATGAAAATAATGACGTATTCATTCAATAATTTGATTTTTTTAAACTTTTTTTTTATATCAGATTATCTGAAAGTCCGTGTTGTAAGCTTAATATTTAGTATGGTGATCAAAATTTTCAGGAGCTTTTAATATTGTTTTATTTCAAATTAAATGTAAAAAAATGTATATATTGTAAAGAAATGCAGAGTTTCATAAAACATTTAAATTAAAAGTTAAATTTAACAACTTAACAAATTTAATAAGTTAACAAATTATTAAGTTAATAAGTTAACGGGTTAAATTAAACTTAACTTGAATACAACCTATATTAAGCAGGATTTAATAAAACATATTAGAAATGTTCTTTATTATCATTGGCAATTTTTACATCATTTTTACTCATTTTCATGTCTTTGTCGCTAATTATCTAATAACTATTTACTCTGTTTTGCAGTACTTTTGAAATCAATAAAAATAATTGGTTGTCGTAAAATTTAAATGCGAAAAATTTTGCAAAATATGTATTTTTTAATTACACTTTCTGAATAATTTAAATACCAGACATATAAAATAAATTTTGTACATCTGTAACTAATTTTACGAATCCAAAATTTTTACACACAATTATAAAACCAGCTTTGCCAAAAATAATTCTGATCAATTTATAATTTCAAGAATTAATAGTTATTTTTCGTTGTATGGTTCAGTAATAATTAAAACTTTCAGATTGTTATAGACGAAGTTAGTGTTATTTGAAAGAAATCAATAAAACAGTCATTGAGTCATAAGACTCTACCGTCGATTGTTAAATAACTATTCAAACAACTCCACTTAAATCCTAGATAATTTTATAAAATTTCTTCATCTTTGTTGATTTCATAACTTTTATATTTTACAATTTTACAACCGTCGTTGAACAGCAGACCCAAATTTCGTGTTTACGACTACAATGTTCAACTACGTAGCCTGGTAATTTTGAACCCAATCCAGAAGACGAGGGAACTCTTGGTTCAAGTATTGGGAGAAATTTACCATCGTGAGGAACTTTTTTTCATTGAAATTACCCGCTTTTGCGTTTCATGAAGAGGAAAAGCACGAAAACCTTCCACTGGCACTCTAACCCATGATTCGTCAACCACTGAGGATATTCTACGTCTGCACTGGGGTCGGTGCAAGCCGGATGCGGAATTCGTATCGGTTCACCTCATTGGAAGGCTATCACTTGAGCCATCGCGATTCATCTTCGTTGATTTGTTAAGTTTGGAAAAATATTTCTTATTCAGAAATAGCGAATATTAAAATACGGTGATGACCAGATTCAGGCACTCCCAGTTGAGGTGTTAAACAAAACATTATCTCGTTTGAAGCTATCAGAGGAGGACTCGTTGTGATTTTGTACTTGGCAATACAAACTGGTTTGGTTTCTACATATAAGTAATGCGTCAAATATAATGTGACATAATAATTTTTATTCAAATATATACTTTTATTTTTTTAGTTGTTAGGATTAGTTTTCGTGATTTTTTTGTTTCTTGCGATGTCAGAGCAAAATATCAGTATATGCATTAAGGATTAGCTTTGGCATTTTCATCCTTAACAATAGCTGTACTTTATTATTAAAAATAATAGGATAAATAACAGTATGCCACTGCCCACTTTACATTTGCCTCGTAATCTCTGTGCTACCAAGACTGACAGAAATCAAGAAAATGTCGACTTTCACCTGTGAATGTCGGCAATCACATAGTCGCTTTGGTGAATGTCCAAAATATTCGTTATATCCGATTTGATATTGATTTATTCGTTGATAATTTCATATTTATTCGATATTTTAATATCTAGTGAGGATAGATTACGATAGATTCAGATTACTGGATTAATGTACCCTCGGCAGTGGCACTGAACCTTAAAAAAACATTGATGTTTGGCATACCGAGTAAATGAATACCGGGCAGGGGCACTTAACTGGACCTAGTACATATTTCGGACATTTACCAAAGCGACTGTGTCATTTCATAACCATCGTTGAACGACGGTTTATGACTACTAATGTTCAACTTCGTATTCTTGTAATTTTGAACCCGATCCAGAAGACAAGCGAACTCCTGGGTATTGTATTAGGAGAAATTTGCCTTCGTGGAGGACCTACTATATGCTTATCAACATTCACCGGTTTATCAACATTCACCGGTCATTCACAGTACCACCTTCACTGATGAGTTAAGGTTAGTTGCCAACTATACTAATATACCTATTCCTATACTAATATTTTTTCCTAATTTAGCGTAATAAGTTATTGTTACAAATAAGCCCGTTAAATGGGAACTGAGGTTCCATAAAAAGTCGATTTATCAATTTTTCAAGTAATGATTGTTCTTATAAGCCAATTATAATCTCAAGAACCAAAGGACTGTCATAATCTACATACTATTTAACCCACAACGTCGGAAACTGCGATTACCGCTTCAAATTGAAAATTTCGATTACCGTCTCAAACAATACTAAACCTACAATACAAATTATAATTCCTTTTGTTTACCTTTTTAATGTAATTTTGAAGACACCCGATGATTCTCCTCCAACCTTTCTCACAAGTTTAATATTGACCACATCCTCTTGCTTCCAACGAAGTAGAATCCCCTGCCAGTGGGGATGAATGATGCTGGTCATTCCATCTGGGGTTTTAACTAAGCGACCATACAGACCAAGAATCCCAGTTGAAAATGTCTTCTCATCATCAATCAACGAGACGTCATGCGATTTTTCTAAAATCAAACCAGCACTTTAAATCTTAACACGTATATGCGATTGATGAACTGGTTGAAACTAAATTTTTTTTTTTTTATTCTTATAAATTTTAATGCCAGTTTAAACTGAGCATTTAGGTTGACTCCCGATGGCCGGTTGTGCCTTATATTTCTGGAAACATTTGACGCTTGATGTTAATAAAAGTCGTTATTCTCAAATACAGGTCGACCCTCGTTAACGCGAAATCTGTGGGACTATCATAATTATTTCATGTTAACAGCAATTTCGTCTTATCCGATACATCATGAAAACAATTTATTACGTACTATTAATGCATGTTATGTACTATATTAATGTATGTAACAATGCTATTACGTACCAAACAAATTAAAATAAGCTTAAAAGTTTTAATTATTTAAAAGTTTTCATTATAGAAACAGTGTTCCTCGAAATGAATAATTAGCACTTCAATCACATAATTCTTATCCGTGCTGTCTCGTTTATTTTTATATTAAACGATAATCAGCATGATTGTTGTTGTTGTAGTTAATTTACGTCGCACTAGAGCTGCGACAGTCTGGGAAGCATCCCTGAGGATGATCCAAAGGCATGCCATCACAATTCTAATCATCTGCAGAGGGGATGGCACCCCCGCTTCGGTAGCCCGACGACCTGCACGTGAAGTNTAGCGAGGACCAATACCGCACACCCTCGGTCCCTACGTAGACTGATCCAAGTGGTTACCCACCAACACACTGACCGTAGCCAGTGATGCTTGACTTCGGTGATCTGCTGGGAACCGTGTCCTAACGATCAGTCTTCTGCGGGACATAATCAGCTTGAAAATTTTATGTTAAACATGTAAAATACAACACTAAATGATTGCTGACTCATGGAACCAAACATTTGTTTCATGGAAAGCGATATTTCACGTTAAGTGATTTTGCATTAACGAGGTTCGACTGTAGTATATTTAATGAAACAGTTTAATTTTTAATATTCTACTATTTTTGGAGCTAGTAAAAAATAAATTCATCTTGAAATTAGATTAATTTGAAATTACAAGTTCTTTAAATCTTCTTTATTGCAGCACAATACAACTGAAAGAGTTGTATTGTTGAGAAATCCGCTAAATGTCATAAAAAGCATGTGGGAGGAGTTCCTCGACAATGTCAACTGTCATCTATGAAAAGGTGCCCCAACTGAAAATCGAGTTGTGTTTTATATATGTACTAGTGAATGGGAAACGTATTTTTGCAGTGGTAGCCACACTACAGTACATCCTCACCAGAATTATATCTGGGATAGAATTCAATGAACTGATAACATGAGGTGATTGTTGTTTTTGTAAGAAGCCGGGAGAGCTGTATTAAGAACACCGGCCTTTTTAAATGCTGATCATGAAGTTCACGGGCGTGGTCGCTCCTGTGTTTGCCACTAGGAGTCGAGTGTATACAGGCCGATGTTGTGCGTGATCTTGACTGAGTAGCAACGGCCACAGGATGTGGATAATGTCGCAGTCACAAGTAGCAAGTCAATGTGGAACATCCATCGAAATAGGCGTGTTCAGATCAAAGTGGGCGTGGGATCACACAATCCAATACTGAATTTACTACTGCTAATGTTCAACTCCGTAGCCTCGAATTTTGAGTCTAACCCAGAAGACAAGGAAATTCCTGGATCAAGCATTAGGACAAACTAGCCTTCGTGGTGAACTTTTTGATAGAACTAACGCGCATTTGCGTTATATGTAAGAGAGAAAAACCACGAAAATCTCCCGCGGTTAACCCGAAAGCAACCTATGATCCAAATACCCTATGATTCTAACCCAAGTTCCAAATACCACTGATGATATTTTACGTTAACACTGTGGTCAGTGCTGCCGGAAGCAGAATTCGTATGAACCCGCCACCGCTGGTATTTGAACCTGGCTCCCCTCATTGGATGGTGATATGAATAATATAAACATTAAAAAAATAATGAAAATAATTATAAATATTACATGTAAACAGTTTTAGCACTATTTTAGCTAATTCTAAATGCGTCAAAAACCATTCCTCCGTGCAATTTTAAAATGGAAAAAATATTGTTTTCGCAGTTACATTAAAATAAACTTATTGTGATAGCAAAAGTTATTCTCTTTTAGCAAAAGTTATAAGTACTGTTTAAAATTACCTGACATGTTCTGAATGGTAGGCCAAAGTCCGTCTCTGATAGTTTTCATCCAGCTTTGTGTCTCTTCCTCGTTTTCGGCTGCCAAGTATACTATCAGCGAAGTGCCTGATGAGAGTGCCCATGTCTGCAAAGGTCTAGAACCGGAACGACAACGGAACAAGAGAAGGCCATCGCGAGACACTTTTAAGGATTGAGATTGCTTGTCCTCGGCATTTCGAGTGACGTTTAGGATCAAACTTGGTTCTCTTTTCAGTGGTTGTAGCACAAATGCTCGGATCCACAGCTTTCGCCACGCCTGAAATCATGAGACATTTCGTTTTTGTATAATTTCCATCACAAAATAAATTTCGAGTCACATGGTCAATCACTTTGGTAATGACACTTAACATTGGTTAAGGCACTAAGCTGTGAAGAACTGGAAATTAGCAGCAGTTTGAGATCGGACAGAGGGAACTTGCTGCGAAAGTTATAATAAGTTATGCGCAATGCAGGCTTAATGGACAACTAGTGAAATTTTCATTTTGTCACGTAGCTAAATTAAAAAAGTCGCATATTTAAAGTTTGATTTCTCAGGAGCTATTCAATCGATTTTGCACAAATTTTGTAGTTTGCCATGTGAAATTATATACTTTAAGATTATGTAGAAATTTATATACTTCACAATTCAAAAGTTATACGATTTTTATTAAATAAAATGTAATTACAAATAGTAAATATTTACTAACATTTTTTTTTTGCATGGTATTATCTTTGGATAAACGAATTCTATGATTGTATGTAAAGATTTTTTAGTTTGCTTTAAAAGTTTTCAAGATATGGGGAAATACGCAAAAAGTAAAATTAGCATTAAAGGGTTCAAACTTTGCATCGCTCTTCTGCCCAAACTATCGGGACCATATTCCCCAGATTGCTGCTACCCTCTATGTTCTGGGAATCTGAAATCCTAATCTGTCGGAAAAAGGCATGTTGATTCAGATAAAGTACGTTTTTATGTCTGATTAACTTAAAATACCGTCTGAAATAATTAATTAGCATGTTTGAAGTCATCCCCTCGAGCCATTAAGATGGAGTTCTAGAACGTGAAGATCCGATCATTAAATCAAAAGTTATTCAAAGCAATTCGTTTTTTCTTTGCTCACTATACATTAATGAAATGTTTGAATAAAATAAAGTTTTTATTCCACTTTATTTGTTTATCGTTCAATTTTTTTTATTTATTCAAATAAAGGCACTACATACTTTAATAGTGATTTGAATTTCAAAATATACTTAACATAAATATTTTTTTTATCCCAATTTCAATTTTGGGAAAAATATTCTTGCAAAATTAGCTTGCTCAAGTTCTAAAATGCCCCAACAATAAAAAAAACTAATAATGAATACATAAAAAAAGAAACATATAATTCAAAAATAAATAACCTCTGAAAAATATGTATACCTTGTGCAAAACCCTTTCTGGACTATCCGGAGGAAATTTGACATCCAAAAAACCTTCACGCAGTAAATCACATCTCTCCGAAGCCATTGTTTTCTATCAAATTTCAAGTCCTTTATTGCATCGAAGTGTACGTTTCTATTGATGTATCTGAAAGGGTCTTTTTTTCCATGGTTTCAATTTCCTTATCTGATGTGTGAATTATTCTTTGTGAGATAATTGCAGTGTTTATCGCCAATATTCCTCTCAAAGTACAATGGGACAGATTAAATGATACAAGATAAGAATTCTATAAGTAATTCATTTTTTCCTATGCGACCTTTGTTTTCTAACCATGTCAACAATTAATATTATACTTTTATTCTTTCTTTCGAATCTGTCTTTCTGCCATTCATATTTTTCGTCCCACTTTTATAGAAAAAGAGGTATTTTAACATAATTGTTAAGTGCGGACAGAATGAGGAGAGTTTTGGGGAAAATCAGTTTGGGATTAAGCTTTTAGTATATTAGTAGAAATATCTTATGGATGCTTATTTCATTAAAAAAAAATACAGACTACGTATTGCAAAATGCTTCAATCATGAAAAATATATGACCCACGTATTGCAAAATTCATAATTAATAAAAAAATACTTGATTTCAAAATAAAACATTAAAAGTGTACATATATATCTTGTATTAAAAAATGATGCTTTTATTAAAAACTGAATTAAAACAATTTTAAAAAAAATAAATAAAAATAAATAAAAGTATTAGAAAAAATGCTGAAAAATATTTTGGTATTATACACATGAGTCATAATTAAACGACTGTCCAAATTAAACGTTTAATGTCCAAAATTAAACGACTTTATTATGTACGCACTTACAAAAAGAATTATATAAAATAAAGCGATATTTTATTTATGATATTATTTTACATATTGTGCTAGTAGCTAGTTGCTTGATACCTTTAAAAACTACGGGACCAACTCTCTGCTCGGCTTAAAATGAGCATTTTAAACTTTTTCTGCTGTTTGTCAAGGTAACCATGCTATGCTGATAGTGGGATCCCTAATTTGTCAATAATTATTTCCTTTGCTATGGCACTATAGTANCTTGTTTCTATATATACTTGTATTATGTATATTATAGTATATATATACTCGCATATATATATATGTATTTAAAAGTATATATGCATACTTAAATTGTTTGCCACATTGTGGGTCTCTGAATTTTGACTGAGTTTGAATATTATCGGTCAATATTAAGGGAAAATATGGGAGCAAGTATTTATGCTGTATATAACCAGATATTTCTTTATTTTAACGACTTTTTATATCACGTTCTTAGAAAAGGAAAAAATAATAATTTTAAGTAAAGGAATACTGTATTTATCCTGCAACATTGTGAAATAAAAAAATAATAATCTGAAATACAATTCTTAAATATTGACTATGTCCGAGGTTCGAACCCGGACCTTCGGGACTAGTTTTTGTTGCCTCCTAGTTCTTTAACTTACCTGTCACACTTGGCTGGCCGACATATAGCAAGTTTTATATGTAATTTGCGATTTTTCAAAGGAATCATATTGGGCCACGCCTCCTAATTTGCAACTGTGCCACATTGTGGACCCCCTAATTTGTGTATAATAATTTCCTTTGGTATGGTAATATATTAACTTATAATCGAATACCAGACAGGCTATGAAATTAATTTAAAACTGTAATTATCAAACATTACTTATCAAAATAGTTTCGGTTATTATTCAATGAAACAATAAACAGTTAATCAAATTTTGAAAAATATTGGCAATTTTTTTAATTTTTTTTTTTTTTTTGCTATCTAGGATAATGTTATATACATTAAAATAATTGTATTATAATAGCAATAAACTAGCAAATATTGCTTTATTTTTTTAAAAAAAATGCTTCTGTTTAACTTCAAATGTATAAAAATTGGCAATAACGTATTTCTGAAAAAATGAATGTTAATGAATAAAGTTAATTGTTCCTAATTAATTAATTAATTAGGAACAATTAATTTAAAAAGTCGAAGTTTGGTATATATTCAAAATTTTTAATTTTGGGAACGTTATAAAACAACATTTATAGAATTTCGATTCTAAAAAAAGTTTTTGTTTCTGAAAAACTTTTTAATAATGTAAAAAAAAGAAACAATTTTGGAAAAGTAATCTATTGTGTGAATGTAAATAAATGACAAATATTTGAAATCACATTTTAACGTATTATTCTGAAAGTGTAAACATTAACTCTAATTATTTGAACAATTACTGAAAAGCTTTACCTAGGTAAAGAAAGAAGAAAAATATAAATAATTCTGCGATTTTTGAAATGTTATTAGTGTAACGTTACTTCAACCATGTTACTTTAGCGTCACTTTAAACATGTTATTAGTGTAACGTTATTCAGTATTTTCATATTCTTTTTTTAATTGCTTATTCAGTAGTTTATCATTAAGTTAATACGTGTCCCACGAAATCCCCTGAGAATCTTTTATTTTGTTTAATTAGTTTTCCCACTTACTTTAAAGTCAGATGTACTTTTTGACATAGTATGAATTCATTGCATTAATATGGAATAACATATTGATCTGAGCAGTATAGTCGTTTCTGGCTCTTCAGTCATTAACATATTCATTCAATCAAAACAATTCTATTAATTATTTCGTAAATATTTAGGCTCTGAAATCTCATTAATTATTTTGAAAATATTTAATAAACTAATAACGAATGCAGTTTCTTCATCGTTTCGTTTCATCAATACTGGTCTTAAAATTTTATTTTATATCAATCAGTTGAATTTACAGATATGGAGCCGGCATGTTCTTAACTTAATCTTAATGTTTATGCACAAGTTAAATATAAATGCACTAAATTGTGACTTTTGCTGAAATGAAAGTGAAAACAAAATGTTGAAAATACTTATCCTAAGAAACATACTTATTCTTTGCTGAATTAGATTATTTTTAAAAAGGGTTCGTGATTTTTTTGATTTAAATCAAATTTTTTTTTAATTTAAATCAGACTTTTAATTTTTATTCAAATACACTGTAAAAAATTTAATTTATGATTAAAAATACTTTACAAATGTTTAGTCAAAATTAAATTAACATTAAAACTATATTATAACAATATTTTAGGAGCTCTAACTAAAATAATTTTTCGTTACAATACATAGCTTTGAATGCATGGCAACCATTTTCGAACAAATGCTGATTGAAATTTAAAGACTAGATGAAATAGAGAATTTAAAGAGTACTTCAGGGGTCTCTGTAGGTTTTTCTGAGAGTGTTCTATTTTGTGAAAATTTAGACATAATTTGTGAAAATAAAAAATAATATTAAAAAATCAACACAAAAATATTGTAAAAATATGGATTTATCGTTTCTTACGAGACACAAAAATAAAATTTTAAGAAAAAATATTTTGTGAAATTATTCTACAGTTTTTCCTAAAGTTGAATTTGTGAAGCTACCGTTTAATGGTAATAAATTTGGCTTGGACGGACCCCTGTACTTTAACTATTAAGGCAAAGTTTCAATTAGCAAACTATAAATTTAATTTAAAATTGTGATTTCTTTTTTTCTCTCTTCATTTTTAAAATGACAAAATAAATGTAACATTGTGTTTATAAATGTAGTCATTTATCAAAAAATAAATAAATATTTAATGTAGGTTTTAATTCCATGCTTTTACAATTAAAAGGTAGAATTTCAATTAACATTATTTGAGTTTTTTTTTTGAAAAAAATTCATGTTTATTAATTACTTTCTACAGCTATGCAATTTTATTAATTACTTTCTACAGCTTTCTATATTAAAACAGCATTAACTGCTTACTTTAATCTGTACTTTCAATCTCAAGAATCAATAGATTTTTAAAAATGTAATTTCAAATGCGTTGGACACATAAAAATTTTTTTTTAAAAAAAGTAACACTTTAAAATAAATGAAATGGAATAATGAAAAGTGATAAGTTTTTAAAATGTTCAAAAGCATTGCATTCTCTTAACTTACGATATTTTATTTTATAACCGTTGTTGAACAGCCGTCTCAATTTTTGGATTTACGACTACTAATGTTCAACTCCGCAGCCTTGTAATTTTGAACCCAATCTAAAAGACAAGGGAACTTCTGGATTAAATATTGAGATAAATTTTCCTTCATGGAGGACTTTTTGACGAACTAAACCGCTTTTGGGTTACATGGAAAGGAAACCCACGAAAACCTCCCACGGTTAGCCTGATGTCAAGGGTACTCAAACCCATGATCCGTCTACCACTGAGGATATTTTATGTCAGCACTGTGGTCGGTGCGAGCCGGGTGCGGAATTCGTATCGATCAGAGATCGCTGGGATTCGAACCCTGCTCACTTCATATCTTGCGATATTATATAACTATTACTCATTTGCTTGATCTTGTGTTTTTATTCATATTTTTCACATTAAATCATGAATTTCAAACTCGTGTTGCTTCTGTTAATTTACTTTATATCAAAAACCAATATATTTCTTTTGCGCAATTGTTAAAGTCGAGTAACTGTTGAATTGAATTTTTGTTGAGAAAATCAAAATCGATGTGAATTAATGTGCATCTCTTCTTTGGTATTTTTTAAATCTATTTTCTAAAGTTATCAACAGATGGTTGTGTTATCATAAGTGGGCAAAAAGTTTCAAATCGACATTTTGTGGGAAGTGTACTTCCTACGGCTTCATAACAGGTAAAAAAGGAAATGTCCCTTGTAAGAAGGCCATATGAACGTTGTTTGTATATAGGATGTCAGAAAGTTCGGCAACTTTTCTCGGGGTGTCGTTTAAGTTGAGTTGTAAAAAGTTGACAGTTCTCGTAGCAGATTTGTCGGGGCAGTTTCGGACTGCAGGTCGCGTAGCGACGGCTGTCTCGAACGCTGGTAGCATCAAGATCAGACCTCTATATAAAAAAGGAAATATTATAAAGTTATTCTTGAATTTTTTTTCCCTTTTTTTTTAGGTTTAGAAATCTTAAAAATTGTCTCAAAACAGGAATGTAAAATTAATTTTTAAAAAAATGCCTTAAAATTAAAATTACCATCCTTTTTTTTAATGTCGTAAAAACATTTAGGAGATCTTCTCAAGTTCCCGAGTTTCTTCTCAAGAGATTACCCCTTCTAAGGGGATAATTTTTTTCCCGTACTCGATTTTACTTTC